CTCTCTCTCTCTCTCTCTCTCTCTCTCTCTCTCTCTGTTTCTCTCTCCCTTTTTCTCTTTTTTTACTCTCTTCCCTTTCTCTCATGCTCTATTTCACTCTCACTCTCTCTCTCTCTCTCTCTCTCTCTCTCTCTCTCCCACTCTCCCTCTCTCTCTCACTCCCTCACTTTCCATTTTTCTCTCCTAATCCGCTTCTCTCCCTTTTTCTCTTTTTTTACTCTCTTCCCTTTCTCTGTCTCTCTCTGTCTCTCTCTCTCACACTCTCTCTCTCTCTCTCTCTCTCTCTCTCTCTCTGTTTCTCTCTCCCTTTTTCTCTTTTTTTACTCTCTTCCCTTTCTCTCACTCTCTATTTCACTCTCTCTCTCTCTCCCTGCCTATCTCTCTTTCTCTCTCTGTATTTTTTCAGTTTCTGCCTCTCTTATTTTTCGCTGAAGGTCTTCGCGACATAAATTTCCCTATTGACCTAAATAGTGCCATAAATTGAATATTGAACTATATTCATTCGCTCAATCTCAATTTTTCCCTTTCACACTCTCGCTCTTTTCCTATAGAACGATTTTTAAGCTGCTTAATTATATTTGTAAACATTAAAAATCAAAGTTTTCCCACTCTGGTTATACTTTCTTCAAGAAGTCTAAGTATTATTTTAAATCTTTTTTTATTTTTATTTTATATAATCCATTTTGCATTATCTTATTATTGTGTTGGAGTTAATTGATTTATTCTTCTCCAACCAATTATTTGCTTATTTTTGGTTATCCATTTCGGCGCTCATCTGCTTTTTCCTTCCTATAAAAACTATTTCATAATAATAATCATAGTAATATAAATGTTTGTGTTAGTTTTAAGCCTATTTCTGCAGTTTAATTGAACCATTTACACTCTTGAGTGTTGTTAAGTACCAGTGATACCAATATAAACGTTAACTCATTTGCCTTTTACTTACTTTTAATATAATCTACAATTAATCTTTATGTAAGTTATTGGTTGAGATAAAAAAGTCATTCACATAATCGGGATTCGAACCCACGGCCTTCAGCTAAATACGCCGCTGCTCTACCACTTGAGCTATTGTGACTACGATCCACTCGGACACCAACTTCCCATCTCAACCTATAACCTTTCGAATTTTCCCTCCTTTTTGCTTTTTTCCAAAGTCACAACAGCTCAAGTGGTAGAGCAGCGGCGTAATTACCCGAAGGTCGTGGGTTCGAATCCCGCTCGTAATACTGACTTCTTTATCGTGCTAACGTTTCGATCATTGTTGAGATCATATTCAGGGCCTGGGATTTATAAACATTGTTTAAATTATTCAAATACATATAGGATAAGAAAAATGAAATTCTATCATTGTATAAATCCTAAAAATCTCCAAATAATCATTAACTAACGGTCTCTAAACGCCACACACTTATATTTAGAGTATATTTCAATAAAAATTTATGTCATCTATGCTTTACGTCTACAGTTTAAAAATTTGTATTAATGTTTCACTTATTGTACTCACCATATTTGAAACTTTTTGGTCATTAACTAACGTTTCATTAGAAAAATTTGTACCGTGAGTATGGATCCTTCATTCGTTGTAATATAATATGTCCTTGGATCTGTCGGGTGAAGTTCAATCGTGTGACAAATGTACTGTCTCCGTAGAAAGTTATGTTCCGCTTCATCCTGTCCGGTGTTAAGTCGCGTGCAATAGACGTCCTTGTGAGGCGTCCTCGTATAAGCCAGTTCAGCAAGTTCTGCGAGGACGATTATTTTACTAAAATAGCCGAAAAGACCATCAATTACGTTTTACTTTTATGATTCTGTCCCTCGGGGTCCCACAGTAGCACTTCGCCGCTGTGTCCGACGGTCATTAATCTTTCTGTGATCTTTCCCATTTCTTCATATTGGATCCAAACCGCGGCCCATTCTGGCTCCTTGACAACTCTGCTCGTCGCCCTGAGTGTAAGTAAAAATAGCCCTTTTACAATACATTTTCGTGTAGATATTATAAACTATATTTCTAGAAAAAAATCGAACCCACCGGAGTTATTGGCATCAATGACTTCTTAATGATTGCCCAGCTTGCTTCCGCGATACATATACTACAATTGTAACAATTAATTGTTTATAAAATGACATTGTGCCATTTGTAATTTTATAATATGATATAATACGATTTTTTTATGCTGGTTTTGGAATAATGAATTTTTCTATATACCGGGTGTCCTTTTTTACATTTATTCTAAACAAAGTAAGTAATCAACAAAAAATGAATTGTAACCGCTTTTATTTTACGTAAGTATTCTTATTTTAACTCTCTCTTGTATACAGTGTATCACAAGCATTTTTTTAAAAATGAAATACAACCCCGTGATTTTTGCAGGATATTCTTAAAAAGCTTAGTTATTTTTATGAAATATGAATGTTATATAATCTTAATCGATCAAGGACTTACGTCATTTTTTTAATAATAGTACTGAGGATCAATCTTTTTGACTTTTATTCTCCCCTTGACGGGGGAATTAATAGAGTATAATACGTCCATAGGACCAGAGATTTATGATGAAAACATAAATAGTGAAATGTTCATCTGGTTTTTGAAAGACATTTCCATGTTGTCCTATGTTCCTTGAGCAAAATGTTCCCTAAATTATCATCGTTGGAATTTTTTCTTTGGAGTTACCTTAAAATTTAATTTTTATCTCAACTAAAAACCTTAAGTAATTGTAATATATTAATTGGTCAAGCGGACCACGAAATTAGTGAACTTAAAATTAAGTTTATGAAAATTTACCGCTCATAAATAGCCGGCAGGTGGTTTGAAACTTTTCTCTCTTTTCGATTTAAAATTTAATCTTGTAGTATTACACTTTTGTTTATTTAGTTACATTAATCGCTGGTATTTGGTAACTATCTATCTCAAAGTCAACTGTTAAGAAAAGGGAGAGATTGAAACCTTAATAACAGTGAAAGACCTTCTTATTATTACAAAATACCCAAAATTTATCTATTGAGAATAATATTTTCAATGGGACGCTAATCATGGACTATAGAGAAATGAAAGTCCTTTTCACCGACTAGAGCCCCTTAGCATTCCTTTGCCTTGAAAAATGTATACTCTGAAAAAGACTCGAAGAACAGTTCAATCTTCGCTGCTCCTTAGAAAGTGTGCTTGGTGGTGGGTCTATCCTGTAGTTGTGGTAGCATTTATTGGAAGCATGTACCAATTTGGTACCAGTCCAAGGGAGGCCTTGAATGGCTTAATATATGTGATTATCTTAAAAGAACATGTACTGACTTTTATATCTTAGCACTTAAATCATAACTTATCTATGATAAGATGCTTAAGCACCACAGGTATCCATACCCTTGAGTGGCCAACAAGGAGTTTGGCCTTACCTACGTCACGGTCCAGTCACGAGGATAACCCGCGACTATGACCACCATCTAACGAAGATTTTACCAGCATAATAATATTGTAACTGTAAGTCAACATAGTTATTTATTTATTAAAACGCGAGTAAAAGAACACCTAAATTGAAATAATACTCAATTTCAATTTCAATTTAAATGCAACAGTGTTGTTTTTCCATTGATCTATTGTCTTCAGTCATGTGAATAATTGTTTTTTTTTTGCTCATTTACAGCAGTCACAAACTACAACTAGTTCGTCTTACAAAATCGGCCTAAGCCCCATAAACGCTGAAATTTTCTCTATATATTAAAAATTTGAAATTATAAGGCTTTGCAGTTTTGCATTGATCTATCGTATGGATCTTTCTCAAATTTTTTTCAGTACCGTACGTATGTTCAGGGTTTTCAACTTGGTTGCATAACTTACACAGGTCACTGTCTTCCCATCGAATTATGTGTAATTATGCTTTAGAGATGCAATGGTTTGAAGGTAGCCTGCCTATTGCGATAGTGATGAACCGCTACCTTTCTCTGGTGAACCAAATTTGGCAACCGACCTTAGGGAAGATAGATTTATACCACTGTCCAGTGTTTGAAGATCTGTACCTATTCTGCTTCAATTGATCTTTTTTTATAACCTTCTAAACCTACGTCATACCCGACCGCATCTCACGATCTTCAAAGAATCGTTAACTAACGGTTACTAAACACCATACATTTTTCTGTAATATTGATCACATCGTAATGAGATATTTTATATTCTCTTTCTATTCTTAGTTTTTTGTAGCTGCTTTGGCCAGCTCATCGGCTTTCTCGTTTCCTATCAATGAACAGTGACCTCTTAACCATAGGAAAATAATTTGTTCACCTTTATTTCTGATATCATTTAATTTGATACGAATTTTAATTGTCAATTCTGTACAGTAAGACTTAGAAAGATGGTAACGATGGTTAATGCACTTCTACAGCCAGAAGAAATCAATACAAAAATTGTTATTCAGATATCGTGAGATGCGGTGCCAACGTTTCGATCTTTTATTGAGTTCATCTTCAGGGCCTGGGATTTAAAAACAATGTTTACAATTAACAAATACATTTAGGATGTGGAAAAGTGAATTTATACAATGCAAAATACATTTTATATTCAAGCAAAGTATTTCTACTCACTCAAAGTATTTGTCTTCTGTGTAATTGTGCCATCCTTGCGTGTCGTGTTGAGAGTGCCAGTGAGATTTTGCTGTTTTATGTTTATATATGTTTGGTTTTGAAGGGGTGGGGAAGGAAGTCGGTATATAAAAGACAATTTTGTGTAAGGCGTTGGCTTCTTTGAAGTGAAAAAGCCGACAAAAAGGAACAATGTGTTGGCAATAGTTCGGCCAGATTATCCTTTCAGGATTATATAGAAAGAGAATAAATAGGAAAAGGAAAGCTAAATTGTTGGAAAATTAGACTATGTGAAAAGTATTTGATGTGTGGAATGTAATGTAATGATATATGTATGTTATCTATATTGATTTTGATTATTGATATTGGCGTAGCTGCGTCTGAGTTTATATGTCTGTAATTGATGCTGTGTTTATCTCTGTTGATATAAACCATTTGGAAAAAGTTACGTTTATGTTTGTTTTGATCTGTGTATAATATTTTTGGATTGATGAAGTCGAAATTGTGTTTGTGTTCAAAATGGTGGGTAGCCAGTGCTGTAGGATTTTGCTTGGGTCATTTGCTATCATAGATATGTTGATTTACTCTCTTGTCCAGATATTGGGATGTAAGACCAAGAACAGTTTAAACAGTTGATCTTGTAGATTACGACAGATTTATTTGTTATTGGTGTGGGATCTTTAACTTTAAAAAAAAGTGTTTGGATTGTTTTATAATTTTTGAAAGCTATTTTGAAGTTATCGGACGAGAGAAATGTGTTTAATTTATGTAATAGGCCTTGAATAAATGGTATGGAAATGTATGCTTGTTTGTTTGTATTTAATGTAGTATTATTAATTGAAGATGATCTCAATAAAAGATCGAAACGTTGGCACGATAAAGAAAATGTTTTTCTGAAACCTACATCACACCCGACCGCATCTCACGATATTTGAATAACTATCGATTAACGGTCACTAATCTCTACACATCAATACAACAATGTTACACAGTTTCAATAAAAGGAGATTTGTTTGAGAAATTTGAAATTAAATACATGTAAAATCGAACATGGAGATCAATGCATGAATAAGATAACAGATTTTGGTTTAGCTCCTATTTTGAATATGTAACCAACTAATACTAGATGTACCATTTCATCAAATTAATTATTCTAATTGTTATTATTTATTTTTTTCATTAATTTACTAATCTATTATTAATGTATCATTTTAATTTTAGTTTTAATTTTTTTATTAATTAGTAAATAAGAAACACAAATTAATCACTAATCTACAATTATTTTCTTACAGTATTTATTAATGTAATATTTAATTGTGTTATAATTCCCGTTTTTCGAACTTCAAAATTGAGCGGCATTAAAAACCAGTTTCTTATTGGTCGCATTGGCGGGGGATCGCAGAGTTTACTATGAACATTCATGTCGAGAGACTTGGTTGTAAATTCCTACAACCTGATGATGAGCTTGATATATAAAGATAGTATTCATTGTTAAAAATACCATTTCCCTGAATATCCTAACATCAACCAATCCTTGAACTTCCAATGGCTGCTGGTATTACATATACGCCGTAAAAACCTTGCTAAAATTTTATCTAAAGCAGGGAACACCCGATGCAAGGCTATGCAACGCTACCCGAAGCCACCCGACGCAAATCCAGAGTCCAATTTTCCATAAGGTTGTCTTACCCCCGTGCACATCTGCCCGACGCGACGAAACGCTACCCCACTCTATGCTACGCGATCCTCACAGTCCAGATTTTCGTCGTGTAGCATCGAGTACAGTCGAAGACAAAAGAACAGGACACTCATATTTTTTATTTCAAACTACATGTATTATTGACGTTATATTAATTACAACATACTTATTTTAATATAAACCGAATTAACCGAGAACAAAAATTTGTTAATTTTTATTTAAAAATAATAATTTTAATTGTTTGCTAGAAAATTGATGAAAACACCGGAATACTATTTTTTGAGATAATGAATTTAACTAACAATTTTATTGAACTGTTTTGATCATAAAATTTAACTAATAATTTATTTCGTGGGTTTGTTCATAAAATTTCACCGTTTTCGTCGAACAGCGTCAGAACAGGACACTCATATTTTCTGTAGTTTATTTCAAACTAAGTATATGTAATTTTGTCGTTATGTTAATTACAAAATTCTAATTTTAATGTAAAACAAATTAAACGAGATCAAAAGTTCATGAGTTTTTATAAAAATTATTTAATTATGATGGTTAGGAAGAAAATTTATCAAAATACCGGAATAACTTTATTTAAAACAAGTAAGTTTAACAAACAATTTATTACAAGGTTTTGCTCAAAATATTGCATTAAGATTATTTTATTGTTATTTTGTTCATTATTATTATTGCGTTGCGATTGTGATAGTGATTATTGGGATACACGCTGGGTGACTCCTGTTCACCCGTGACAAAGCGTCGTCGCATCGGGTAGCGTCGCATAGAGTTGTTAAGTGTGTTACCGGCTTAAAATAGAACGACTAGAAAGTTTTTAAAAATTGAATTCTTTGAAAATATTTAGGGAAACCGTTGCAAATACGATATATAGTTGCCTTTGCTTTTTACGTTTCATTTATACAAAGCCTCTTGTCTAGTTATTTGTCTATTTGTGGTAATATTTTTATAATAATTTATTAGTACGTTCGATTGAGAGCGATGATTTTTCACTAAAAACTTACCTGAACAGAGGGATTATGGATGTTTTGTGCGTTCTTATGTCAACAATAAGGACCTCCCCCAACTCGGTGGTGAATGCGAGATAACGAGGTTTGCTCCTGCAAAAGTCGAGGCAAGTTATTGGGCTTTCTACTTCGAGACGCCTCTCGGGGCTTTGAGGATTTTTCGCGTTCCAACAGCATATCAATCCTTTTCCCCCTCGATTCCCGTAACCCACGGCAACTATTTTCTGCAAAATTCAAAATACGCAGTTAGATTTGGGCAAAAGAAAATTAGATTTGATTTTTTCTTTCGTTCTGGTACAACCATATTGGCCGGATTTACACAGATGCAAGTGACTTCTCCCGAATTGTTTTCCTTCATCTCCCACAGAATGTCCATCGTGTATCTTATAAACCGACCTGTAAATTTGGAGTGTTGGAGAAAAGATTAAAAAGCAGTTTTGACGAATTTTCCTAATGGTTAGGCAAACTGTCAAACCGACCTTAGAAATCTAATTCTCATTTCAATCTTAATGTAAACTTTAGCGAGCAAATCATATTAAAACCAAACTTTGAACTCTAAGTTCTCTTTGATTCCAATTAGTACCAGCTGAAATACTTACTTGGCTGATGCTTTGTCATAAACGTCATTTGCTCCTCGTGAAATTTGTTTGAAGCCAAGACGCGTTGGCAGTACTGAGCAGCTTCGTAAAATTTCTCATCAATACTATCAACTGTGTTTTCGGAATCTGGGAAAAAATTCAATAAACTCTAAATTAAAATCACAAAGCAGAATAAACCCGATTTTATTCAAAACTAAAACAAAGACCAGAAAGAAAGGTTATTTTTAAAACTCATTTACCGAGTTCTAAGTTTTTCCTTGAACGAAAGCAAGTTTAAAAGTAGAAAAATAACTTAATCATATAAATTTCTCACTAAATGCGGATTTTGTAATAAAAGCGCAAGAAATTTAGGTTTGATGTAACAATTCTTCAGATTTTTTAGATGAAACATAAAATGTTTCGTGATGTTTTCTTTTATTTTTAGATTTGTTTGGTCTTTTCAGAGCATTTTAGTCTGTCAGACAAGTTTCGATTTCTCGCCTACGTTAACAAACTACAGTTTCGCAAAAAATAGCAACAGATGACGTGCGCCAAATAACGAAAGTAACTGATTGTGAAAACTCGATTGAGAATCGGCCAAACTCGTCAGACACGTGGAACCGTTTGTAGAAAAAGGTTGCTCAGTGTACCAAATCTGGTTGATGTGTTCCTTGTCTTGTGCCCTTAAAAGGAGCGAGTTGTGGTATGACCCCAGGCATAAAAACATTGCTCGGGGGAGCAAATCAACCGGGGATCCTTCGTTGATGAAAACATGGGTGTTTCCACATATGTATATTTAAAATATGTATGTGTTGTACTTTACATTCACTAATTTCGTGGTCCGCTTGACCAATTAAATCATTACAATTAATTAAGGTGTTTAGTTGAGATGAAAAAAGTCAATGGCACGAGCTAGCTCAAGTGGTAGAGCAGCGGCGAATCTAGCCGAAGATCGTGGGTTCGAATCCCGCTCCTGCCATTGACTTTTTTCATCTCAACTAAAAGCCTTAATTAATTGTAATGATTTAATTGGTCAAGCGGACCACGAAATTTGTGAATTTAAAGAATTAATATGAAGTACACTTCACTAAAGCTCTCCGTGGCCATTTCAATTGTCGTCGCGAATCCAAACCGATTACACGACATTTGAAAAATGGCAAAAAGGAGGGAAAACTCATAAGGTGGGGTTGAGATGGGAAGTTGATGTCCGAGTGGATCGAGGTCACGATAGCTCAAGTGGTAGAGCAGCGGCGTATCTAGCCGAAGATCGTGGGTTCGAATCCCGCTCGTGCCATTGACTTTTTTCATCTCAACTAAAAACCTTAATTAATAGTTATACTTTACCTTAACAGGGTATACCGTCAATACTTTTAGGAGGTTATCCTACATGCAGCATGGGACTAAAACAACCTAATTGTCCACAGTCTGATTCTCTGATGTATTCGAAATATTTTACTATTCATGTTACTTCGACCTTTTACCGCTATTTTCTATAAAGCCCTCTTAAAACCATTCTCATTATATGTTAAAGATTCAGTCTGAATTCGATTACACCATTGTAAAGAGCATTGAAAATGATATGTTGTCCTTCTGAAGTACGGCGTCTGTTCACCGGGCTCACTGTACATTGGTTAAGACAAAATCGTACAGTAAATAGATCATATTCACATTCATAAAGAAAGTACATACTATCCTCCTTAGCAAATTTTGCATGAACACTGCTCTCAATACAATTGAAAACCCTCTGTCATGAATGGAACAAATCTACCTCTATAGAAAAAAATAGTATGTACCCAATGACATATGTGTGCTGAAAATCGGGCAAACAGGAGGAATCATCGAAAGAAAGAGACAAAAAATATACAAGCACGGAAAATCAAAATTCACGACTCGCCTCACAAAACCACAAACCTCAACAGTACAGCCAAGCTTAAAATGTCTGCTTGACGTTCAAAAAGCACGAAAGATAGAAATATCTGAAAGTATACAAACACACATCTCATGAATACAGTCAGACATCGACAAATCTCACAAAACAGAAATTACAAAAAACTTAATAATAAAACAACTGAGTTTGGAATTGATTTCACCTAATTTTTTTATATGTCTTAAAATGAAATAGATCAAGGATGATATTGATCGCTCAAACATCCTGATTCGCTTCTTCAGTAGCCTGCCTCTGCTCACGTTCGTCTGTTTCTGCCTTTAATTATAAGCTATTGTTCTTTCTAGACATGTGTCAAAGAGTTTTAATCAGTCAGGTTTTTCTTGAGCTCGTCGGAGCAATGACGTTTGGTCAGGTCCTCCATCCAGGTCTCCTAGGCATCCATGTCGCATGGCGTGTTTTTTACAATTTTACAAACGTAAAACAAAAAGTATCAGTGTCTTGTTTACACCACGTTTATATCAACCAATGACGATGACGCCAAGCCGGAAAGCCCAACTTGCATACTAAATTGCGAGAATAGACAGTTTGAAAATCAGAAACGACCAAACTACATCAATTTTTGTCTAGTTTTTGCACCGGTTCTGAAGTATCGAAGAAATTACATTTCGGATAACCTTTTAACTATTCAATTAAAAGAAAATTGTGACCTAAATAGTCAACGATTGTAAAGGTCGGTAGCATCATCAGATTTACGGTAACTTCTAGTTGAATTACTTCAAAACTTGATTATTCCGCACTTAGCTTTTGAAATCACCGTCAACGGGTTAATTGAGCTAATTTGACACAGCAGTGGGGCCGTCAAGCTTTCGTTGAAAGTCCGGCGTAGGAGAAAACTTAGCAGTAGTCGACTCATGATTTATTACGCAATAATGGTCGGTCATTTCGCCCCAAAGGGATAATCCTTCCAACTTAATGAATATGTATGACGCCGAATGAGTTAGCCGCACTTGAAAGCAAAGGCCAATGGTTTTAATCTATGAAATAAACACATGTTAATTTGTGAGACGGACACCTTCTTGGGCCTATAATCGAGACATTTTTGTTGTCTCAAATGTGAGCTAAAATGTACCACAATTAAATAAAAAAATTGCTAATTTTTACTTTTATCATCAGTAGATCTAAAAAATAATCTCTTTTATTGAGTAAACGAGCAACGCTATGCGCGAAGCGCAATAAGTTACAGAGATAATTCCACAGAAAAGGCAAAAACACCAAAAGACGTCGAGTTGAGAAGCTAACCAGTGATAGCACTCCTAGATCAGAAATCATCACATAACCAACTTTCTGAGAGCATGCCTAAGTACCACTGTTTTTTTACTCTTCGAGGAGGATTGTTAGGAACAGATCGGGAGTAAAGTTGTTGTACAATGGGATTAGATAATTTTTATGTAAGGTATTGGTTGAAATGATAAAGCTAGTGTCACGAGCGGGATTCGAATCCACGACCTTCGGCTAAATACGCCGATGTTCTACCACTTGAGCTATCCTGTCTTCGCAAGGTAGGTTGAGATTGGAAGTTGGTGTCCAAGTGGATCGAAGTCACCTCAAGTAGTAGAGCAGCGGCGTATTTAGTTGAAGGTCGTGGGACACTCACTTTTTCATGTCAACCAATACCTTACGTAAAGAGTAATTAATTGAAAGAAGTTGTTTGGTCAATCGGACCACGAAATATAATGGAATGGGATTAGAGATGGATTGGAGGTTTTGTAGCTGGATTTGGCAAATTCATTTAAAATCGAAACATTTAAGTTGTGATAGGAAAGAATGGAAAAGATGGTGCGATTAGAAACAACAACGAGGGAGGTTCTAAGATACGTGATTGTAGGGTCTGGATTTTGTGGAGATTTGGTTTGGTTTGGTTAGTTTCCAGAATTCTAAGCTGCATTGTTTTCAGTATTGAATTGTACATAAGTATTTTGTTCTCAAGGGAGAGTTTAGAACTGTTGTCTCTTATAGTTTTTTTAAGTAATCAATATCGTCGGGTCTGTCCTTTTGAATCGTGTAAGGGGATTCCAGGTGAGTGATTGTCTAGATACAACCCTAGGTAGCGGTTGAAATTTTCAGCTGGGAATGAGGATTTTGGAGATAAAATGAGGCAACAGAGAGTGAAGCCTTTGTTTTGGGACATTTTTTGAACCATTGCTCAATAGAGTATACACATGTCCGAAGGGTTCAGTGATTTATGTCAGTGTCATGCGGGTATATTACGATAGTGGTATCGGGTCGGGAAGAGATATCGGCAGCTTACACTGAGAGACGTAGCGGCCCACGGGCGCTACCCTGAGGGACTCCCGCGTCCAACCTGTACAAAGGAGACCCGTACCTGTCGGCCCAATGGGATTTAAGAATGAAGACGTGTGTAGAGGAATAGAGCAGACCCAGGTGCCAGATTCGATCGAAAGCCTGTTCGACATCGGGAATGACTCCAGAGCCAGCAGTCTTTCCCCCCAAGGGTGGATGCGATGATGTAAAGAAAAAATATAAAGAATATGATCTTACCATTTTTTCTTTTCAGTTTTTTGAATGTATCAAACATATCCCATTCTGTAGCCATTGATGCTTTTTCCTTTAAAAAAAATAAATTAATTATTAAATAAAATTTATAGAAGAATATATAAAAATCGAAAATAGAAATTAGAACGCAACATTTCGTCTGTCTGTAAAGTTCTTACATTATTAATTTTTGTATTTATTGTGTAAATATTAATTTTTCTTTTTATCTATGGTTTTTGGTTGAGATGAAAAGCCTTAGATAACAATAATAATTAATTGGACTAATTAATATGATTGATTATGACCACTAAGCAAATATAGATTATTGTTTTGAATACTTACGATTCATTATTTATAAATTATTAAGTTAACTTTTTTGGTAAATGTTTTTTCTGTTTCTTCTCATATATAATTAATTTGGAGTGACCCAACTTGAAAAAATCATGTAGCAATTATGAAATGTTGAACAATAAAAAGTTAAGAGTAAGACATCTTTCTTCTGACATAGCCAAAATAGGAAGAGTTATTGAATTAATAAAAACACCAGTTCATTTATTTAAAGACTTGATAATATGAAGTAGTAACCTTTTTGATGATTTCTTTGGTTTGGACCAGCCGGTTTAAATAGCACGGATTTGGTGTTTGGGTTTCAGCGTCGTAGGTTAACACTTCCGTTTTCCTTTGTTGGTACTAAACGATAATTTTTTCCCATAACAATTCCAGACTTTTATACAGCACAAATACCGACCTCTTTGAATGCATTATTATAAAACGCCATTTCCTTCCATTCTAAAGAGCCTTCCTCAGCAAATCTAGTTGTAAGCTCGAAAAGGTTGATTGTTTCCGTCTCTCTGAGCAGAACCCGAAAGATTTTCAACTCTGGAACCTCTTGGGCTTTTTCCCCTTCTTTTATGGCATCTTTTATCTAAAAAGTAGTAAAAGAATAAGAAGCATAATTCGATTATATTTCAAAATTATCACTTGCCATGTCTTTGAGCTCCGCCTCGGAACTCCATGTTTTAGGCTCGAAATCGGCTGTCTCCCTCGCCTCTAAAATTATGCTTTCGATCTTGCACTTTCTCTCGGAGATTCTTGCCAATTGTTGCTGTACATTAAAAAGAGTTTTTTCTTAATAATTTACGTTTATTTTGGTTTTCAACTGTTTAACCAGTTGCAGTTGGTAGGAATTATGATATGCAGGGTGTTAGGCTACTCGTGTTACCAAAAAGTCTTAATTAACTATTGTCCGAATTTCAACATTTTATGATTTATTTCACTTATTCTGATTTTTTAATATTTCACGACCTTGCTTCAAATAAACAATGATAACTTCAAAACTAAAACGTTTTGGACAAATCCGTTGATTCTATTATAAACGACGTTAAATTTCCAATAAGATGTGATAAATATTAAACTTGTAAACGCTCGTGAAATAAGCATTTTAGTGGCGAGAACATTGAAAAAAAATATGTTGAGCAATTTTGATAAGTTGAAAAATTTACTATGGTGATTCTAAAATATTTCCATACCTATAAACCAGCACATTTCAGAAAACGTACCACATTTCATATCCTTTTTAGTGGAGCAATTGCTTTTTTAATTATTTTTTTTAAAGATGAAGAAATTGATGAAGGAAAAGTAAAAACCGTGGATGAAGGATTGGTAAAGTGGAAAATTTAAAAAATAACTTAAGGACATTTTGAATGGATTTATTTAAGGTTTTTTAATTTTGATTCGACATGCTCCCTCCGCAATATATTTTTGACGCGTTGCCGTCGCAATAAATCCGCAAAACCCGTACATAAAATGTATATCAGTGTATTCTTCATTAGAAAAAGTAGCCCTAGTGTTAACAAGATATGGATAATATAGATAACTAAAAACGGTTTGAATTTTAAAACTTTTGTTCCGGAGAATAATAATGCATTAATTATTTAATCAATGTTGCAGTCGTGTTGGTAAATAAGTAAACACTGCACTATTTCGGTTTCGAACCTAAATTCATTCAAAATTTCCTTAATTTTTTTTCCACCTTACCAATCTTTCAACCACGGTTTTTTCTTTTCCTTCATACATTTCTTCATCTTTGAAAAAATTAATTTAAAAAGCAATTGCACCACTAAAAAGGGCATTAAATGGAGTACGTTGTCTGAAATTTGTTGGTCTCTAGGTTGGGAAATGGTAGTTTTGAATCCCCACAGTAAGTTAGTCAACATTGAGCAAAAATTTTTTTTCATAGTTCTCGCTACTAAAACGCTTATCAATAATAATAATAATAATAAGTTTATTGCACACAAGAAGAAAAAAGAAAAATTACATATAATTCAAACAAAAAAATAAACTTAATACGCAAGGTAACCGTCTGCCGGGGCTTGGCTTAATTATTGACTAATCCTGTAAAATAAACGTACAATGCATTAAACTAAGTCTATGCTAAGTGTAACATTTATAACAAAATACCAAATCAAAAGGACACAAAACTGAGAATTAAAAATCAATGAGCGGAGCTGAGACCGGAGAAACAGAAACACCAAATATCAAGGGAAAGAGCGGGGGCAAAGAAATTGGGAGTAAAAGAGAAGAAGAGAGAAGAATTACTAATTAAATTCGTTTAATATTAGCCTTCGATAGGCCCAGGCCGCTTTAGCATAATTCACCAAGTCTGTCCAATCTGGTCCGTTGAGCAATCTGATGCATCTGTCCATTGATACGGTTCTTTCGCCGAACGCAGATAAACGGTAGGGGGACAGAATGGGGCATTCCGCGACAAAGTGGTATATGTCTTCCTTCACCCGGTAATTACATAACTCACACTCCTGTTGGGTGAGGAGATCATACGGCTTATGTCGTAGGTTCAGCAATTCTCCCCTCAGTTTCAGGATCCAACGTATGTCTGTAATTTTCTTATTTGTCTTTTGGTCCCCAACCAAGCTGGCACATCTGACTCCGTGATCCAGCATCCTATATATACGGTATCGACGGGAAGCCTGCACTCTCTCTATGTTGCTCACCATAAAACTATCTTTCAGTCGACTAATAATTGACTGGAGTTGAAGAGAGAGACCCTTACTCTCGGGTTGCGAAAAAGACAAACCCACTCCCACCCTGTCCGCCAGTCTACCCCAGTCAGCAGCCCAAGATATCCCCAGCCTGATGATCTCTTCAGCCACCATACGGGGGAATCTGGAGTGGTCCATTCGGAGCACCTTAACCAAATAACGACCGTTCAAAGTCAACGTGAATAGAAAGACTGGGTGAAGGCCGGTTTCAATGTGCAGTATGTAAACTGGAGTGTAGTTTGGGAGACTGAACAGTTTTCGTATGAAGAACCATAGCACCCTCTCCACCTCCACGAATTCCTCTGATCCCCATACTTGTGCAGCATAACACAGAATTGAGCGTGAGACCGCGTTAAAGATATGCAGTGGGATCTGGGGCTGCATCATTGCTCCTCTCCAAACAGAATTAAGTGCAAACTTGGCCGAACTCGATTTCTCCGAGAAGTGGGGTTTCCAAGAAAGTTGAGAAGTCAGTTGTACTCCTAGGTATGTATAACGATTTACCACTTCTATATCCTGACCTTTGTATTTCCAACGCTCTTCAGAGCCAAGCCTACCTCCCCTGCGGAAAACAACTATCTTCGACTTTTCCAGATTTACCCTAAGATTCCACGTATCACAGTATTCCTCTAGTTTGGTAATATTCTTTTGTAAGCCACGTGGATTGTCAGCAAGAATTACGATGTCGTCAGCGTACATAAGTGCTTTTATGTCTTTGCCTCCCACTGACACTCCCGTCACCAATGTATCCTCAAAATCGTTCAAAAATAACGCAAATAGGAGAGGGCTTAATAGACAGCCTTGCCTTACACCACTCCCAACATTAAAGGCTTCTGTTCTTCCAAACGGTGTCCACACTGACGACGTTGATTCAGAATACAAGTTTCGTATGATCGCTATGAAACGAGAAGATATACCTATATTAAACAGTTTTAGGAACAACGCATCCCTATCTACCGTATCAAAAGCAGCTTTTAAATCAACAAAAAACGCGTAGAGTTTTCTTCCTTTTCTGTGTAATCGCATTTTGATGATATTAACCAAAACAAATATGCAATCGACCGTCGAATATCCATTTCTAAAGCCAGCCTGGCACTCTTTGAGGATTTTATTCGATTCGACGAACGACTCCAATCTGTTTAATAGAAGTCCACAGAACAGTTTGCCTATACAGTTCAAAAAGGATAATCCACGGTAGTTTCTGGCCTCATATGTCGATCCCTTTTTAATTAGGGGGAAAATTATAGATTCCTTAAAACTAGAAGGAACATTTCCTGAAAAATATATTTCATTGTATACCTGGAGGAGTTGTTCCAAATATTCAGAGGGCGCATTCTTATAAAACTCATAGGTCACTCTGTCTATTCCCGGAGCTTTGTTGTTTTTTGCTTTGCCAAGTATTAAATACAATTCGTCCAAATTGAAAGAGCAGTCTAATTCGGGAGTGAGAGTTAGTGGCATGGCGTAATAGTGAGTAGTGTTCATAGAACGGGGTGGGTTTAGAAGTGTTTTAAAATGATGAACCCAATTGGCTTATTTATATATTTAATATTAATTACATCTTATTGGAAATTAGTAGTTTTCAATGGTATCAACGGATTTGTGGATGGATATCATTGTTTATTTGAAGCAAGGTCGTGAAATCTTAAAAAATCAGAAAAACTGGACTAACTCCGAAACTGCTGAGATTCGAACCAGTTAAATAAGACTTTTTGATATGGAATTTGCAAGTTACAAGGATACAGGATGATACAGGATAGGCAGACCAAAATAATTGGCGCAGGTTCCTCATTTTGCATACTACAGGTATTCACGATTCTTATTTTATGTTTGTGTTCATTAATCGTTGTTCACTATCTTATAAGAAATAATGATCTATTTCAAGGCGATCAAGGCCTATTGTTAATCGGATGAGCATGACTCCTCTTCTATGAGTCAGATCTTCCGAGGGCCACCTATCGATATGCTTTTGATATATGAGTCACGTTCTACTTTATTCTGCTACTTTATTTTACTCACGTTTCCTATTGCATTTTTAGCACAGAGCAGGATCGCGGTGGTTGTGTCCGAAGGTTGGGACGTACCGGACCATGACGCCTCGTCCATCTTTCCGTTACCCTCCAGACCAACGTGTCCGGGTATCAGGCGACAACCACAGTTTTCCCTGGATCCTCCTGTTATTAGTACCTCTACAAGAAATGCACGACGAGAGGGTCGACCGAGAAACGATCAACAGTTCCCGCACTGAGGAAATCGGTGCAGGCATGTTAAGCAGAGCCAACATCGCCTGGAATCGCCGGAAGCGCTTGCCAAATCGCATAAATTCCGTCAAATAAGCAAGTATGGACGCAATACACGGCGCATGCCACACCTTCCTCGCTTTTAGACCCGTGAAATCGTTTGGCATTTGGAAAAAAGAGTCGTTGATTTAATATGAAGATTGTAACCTTCTCGGCATGACAAATATGAAATAAACATTTCTCAGAATGATTTGCTACTTATAATTAAAATTTAATTAGGTAAAAATGTGTCATTCTTTTAATGACGAAATTATTCATGTCTTATTGTTTCTTTTTAAATTAAATATTTTATACCTGGAGTTTTATACCTTGGCCTAAAGAAACACAATAATTCATTATTTGTATTTCTAAGTCGGCTTTTTTTGTTTTAAAATTTAAAATTTAGTTTTATCATTTACTCAACAATCCAACTTAGTTCAGATATTCCTTGTTGATGTATAACATTATAAATGATTATATATGGATTCTATTTTGTTTTCTTTATGTTATCCTATATTTTTAGATAATTATATATGCTATATTTAAATAATATAGCAAAAAAATAAAGATCGTTTATTATAATATTTAGTGTTTAGTAGATGATGGGGTTTGGTATGCGAGTTGGGGAACTCATGTTGAACCGGCACACGGGCACTACTGGGTCTGTCTTCACTCGCTGGTTTTTTTGTTTGAGTTATTCAAACGCGTTTCGGCATTACGCCATCTTCAGTGAAAAACTGTCTGTCATTTAGTCTGAGTAGGGTTTATACAGTATTGCGTCCGTCGCTTGTCGCTGGAGGCGTTGTGTCTATGTTTCTTTTTAGTAGTTTACCTGTGTTATTGTTGGTCCTTAGTGCTGTTTTCAGTGCGAGTTTGTTCAACAGATTTGTTAGTTTGTAGGTTTCTTTTCCTGTGTATGTGAATGTTGTGCATTTGTTGTTGATTTGTGTTTCGTTGTTTTGTTTTTTAGAAGTTTCTGTATGGTGTTTGTTTTGTATCCGTTTTTTATTGCAATGTTTGTTATTATTTGTAGTTCTTTGTTGTAGTTTTGGTGTTGAGTGGGATTGTTTTTAGTCTGTGTATCATGTGTCGCCGTGCTGAAAGTTTGTGTTGGTGTGGGTGGTTGGATTAATAGTAATAGTGGATAGTAATGCCGAAACGCGTTTGAATAACTCAAACAAAAAAACCAGCGAGTGAAGACAGACCCAGTAGTGCCCGTGTGCCGGTTCAACATGATTTAGTGTTTAACTACTAAGTTTCGTTAGTAAAGTCAATTCTAGCAAACATCTAATTAATAATTGGCGAATTGCACATTTTCAATTTACCTCTTTTAATGTACGCTGTCGTTATTAAAATACACACGTATTAATATTCCTTTTAAGGAAAATAAATTAATGGATAATTAACAACTTATTGTGGGTTCACATATTCTTCCCACTGGAATACTTAACTTAATCTCAAGTAGGTTTTGCATCAACGAGGAAAATTGGCAGACTGAGATATGATTACTAAAGTGTTTTTAATACGGTTTTATATTTATTTTCTTCCAATAAACAACCAATGTTTTAGTTTTTCCTTTATTTATGTACTTTTGTGATCATTGTAAATAAATTATTTGCTTTAAACGCCCCATTAAAGTATAGGATGTCATGTGTTCATATCAGTTTTGTTTTAGTGCAATATATTTACGTCTGTAAGCAGGTTTTAGTCTGCCGGCCAAACATGGATAAACATAGGCACATTTACCTGGATTTCATCAGTAACCGGCAGATGCTGTAAGTACGAGGCTTGATCCAGATCCATTTTCTTGTAAACGCTTGCTCTCGTTGTAAACGGTGGAAAAGATAATTTCGGATTGCTTTAGGGATCGATCAAATAGGGGACAGTTGCTAGGTCGCGGACGACCCCTGATCCCGCCGACGCTCCAAAATCTTTTTTTCGAAAATCACAAAAGTCGTGATAACTTTGAAACGACTCCACGGATCTACAAGAAACATTACAGGAGTTCAGAAACGTACAAATAGAATAAATTTCGTAAGTAACGTTGAACCGGTTAAATAAAACAAAACATTAGAACAATTTTTTTATATTTAATTCTCTCACTTAGAAAGAAATGGAAAATAACAATTGCCATAGACCGAAAGAATACATTTCGCTTTTTAACGCTTGTATTATTAAAATTATCTTACTCTGGGTTCCGGGTCACGTCGGCCTTAAAGGAAACGAAGAGGCCGACAAAGCGGCGAAAGAAGCATCGAAAATGCCGCACGACCCGGACACTCTGGTTAGTCCGGCGGATATCAAAAATTCCTTCAAACAATTAAGCTGGAATGAATGGCAAAACAGATGGAACGCCCTGAATGAATAAATAAAGGTGCTAAAACCGACAGTCAAACCTTGGGTCGCTGAAATTCTCAGAAAGAAAGAAAGAATTGTACTTACTCGATTAAGGATAGGCCATACCCGCCTAACACATAGACATCTCCTCATCGGCAAGAGACCGAGGAAATGCCCCATGTGCGGCGCAATTTTGACAGTAAGGCATATTTTAGAAGAATGCGAACAACTAGCGCCGCACAGAGCACTGTGTGGCCTTCCTAATGACACAACAAAAGTATTTAAGCATTACAGCAGTGATTATAAACGGAAGGTCATTGATTAACTAAAATTAATCAATGCGTATGGCTATATATAACCCACCACACGTGGTATATCCCTCCTATTTGTATGAATGTATTTATTTGCGTGAATGTCGAAGTATGCATGGGTGTGGATGTGACGGAATATGAAGTACCCACAGGCCCACCAAATTAGTATAGATATGTTATATATTTGTAGTATGATGTGAGGGACGGGTCATTGGCATTACGTTGGTACTATACTTCCGAAGTGTAGTGGCTTGTCCAGAATGAATGTATTTATTAGCGTGAGAGGTGATGCGTGAAAGGACGTGGCTGTCGAGGAATATCGAGTACTCCACAGGCCCGTCAAACAATTTAGATTAGGATAGGTTAGTGTGTGAGTGGAACTTGTAAATACAGTTTGAACGTATTTATTAGTGTGAAAGACAGGGGGCCGCAAGATCACGATAATCTTCCGACCTCCAATTTAGTTGTAGTATAGGTTAGTAAATTAGTATGAATGTGAATTTTGAAAATGTGTAAATATTATATCTATGTATTTTAATTTATCATGTGTGGGAGGGTAACAACAAACAAGATAACGAATCCCCTATTAGGTGAATCGGAAGGCAACAGTTGTTTAGTTGAAGAAGACTCAGAAAATAATATACTCATAAGATGAATATACACATAAGATAGATAAGAAGGCAAATGCGAGAAGGTTTATATGTGGGGCGCCGGCGATGACCCAGGTAGTTAGCCGGCAAAAAAAATCTTTTTATTTGGTTGAAACGAAAAGCTGGTGTCACGAGCGGGATTCGAAACGCTACCTCAATACGCCGCTGCGCTACCATTTGAGCCATCGCGACTTCGATCCACTCGGACACCAACTTCCCATATCAACCTACAACTTTCGAATTTTCCCTCCTTTTTGCAATTTTTCAAATGTGTAACAAGAATTCGCTTCTCAGCGACATATGAAGTGGGCACGGGGGGCTGTTATTGAAGTTATATTTCGTTTTAATTATTAAATCCATTATATATAGTGATCTGATTGACCAATACTTCTTTCAATTAATTCATCTTAATTTTTATGTAAGGTTTTGGTTGAAATGAAAGTGAAGTGATGAAGTGGTTAGACCAGCGGCGTATTGATCCGAAGGTCGTGAGTTCGAATCCCGTTCGTGACGCTAGCTTATCATTTCAACCAAGACTTGGTTCTCGCATACAAAGAATAATTAATTGAAAGAAGTAATTTGGTCAATCAGATCACTAAATATAATGGCTTTGTAATAATGCTGAAACAAAAGCCAGAGCGGAAGAAAATTCTATGTTGAACATCAAACATGAGCTAAGAAATCTTTGGCCTGGACAAATCCAACCAAAAATTTCTATTTTCTTATTGCAATAAAAATTCTTACTTAAAAGTTCTGATGGGTGTTTAAAATAAATTATATCTAAATATTACATCTCATTTAGTACAATACAGCTTTTCATTTTTGAATCTTAGTTGAAATCGCAGACCTACTGATATATACTAACCTAGACCATTCATGACAAAGACATAAAAATATATTTAAAAAATAAAACATAAATTAGCTAAAATATGTTTATTCTCGGCCCATTAGCAAGAATAGTTGGACACGGGCCTCAGATTTTTCAACAGTTTCATTAAAATCGGTGAACCCTGTAGCCTCTCGTTGTTTCTCAATAATTACTATTGTAATGAATAAAAATTAATAATTCATAATTTGTTAAAGTCGTGAGGAGCAACCAGGAATGTGGTAGATTAGAAAAATACCTTTTCATTTTTTTGCCGACGATTCGACCTTTATTCGATTCTTCTTCAGGGCATAAAGTGTGGTGCTATACTTCATGCCCTGAAGATGACCCGAATAAAGGTCGAACCATCGGAAAAAAAATGAAAAATGTGTTTTTCTAAACTATCTCATTCTTGACCCCTCCTCACAATTTCAACAAGTTATGAAAGAACAGGTCACTAAGAAACACACATTAAATATTTATCTTACTTGTACTCGACCTGATTATTTACTTACCCTCATGCTCTTTAGTAAAATATGAATATGACGAAGTTTTTTGTTTTGTTTTTTTAACGGGAGTTCATCAAGGATAAAGCCTGACGTTCAGATGTTTTTGAAAAATAAAGCTTGTAATCTACTCTAATTTCAATCGAAGTAATAACTACAAAAAAAAGTTGAAATGTAAATCTATGGATTTTAGATGGGTTTATGCTTTCAAGAGAGATTGTAACCTCTCTTCAGTTCTTGCAGTGCATCTAATTAATAACGACTTGTCTTCTTGGCCTTGACAGTCTCATGTTTTTCTGCGAAGTGATTCTCCATAGTGTTATGTTAAAAAATTTGTTAATATATTTAGTTATTTTTTGGCTTCCTCACAAAACGGTATGCTTCATAAATGAGACAATGTGTAAAACAAGCCTAAAGAAGAGTATGTCATGTCTGCAGTGCGGCCGTACTTTAGTTTGCACCAGAGCAATCCTGAATTTATTGACATCAATTTCTGTATCTTTGAAACAGCAAAGATGACGGCTTTCCATCTCTAGTTTGTTTATTTTGGTCTTGAATCACCGAAATAACAGACTGTTTGTATTTTGTGACATCTATGAATAAGAGGTGTTTAGTGAGCGCTATTTAATGATTATTTGAAGATCGTGAGATGCGGTTTGGTGTAACGTAAGTTTTAGAAAAACATTTTCTTTATATTGCCAATGTTTCGATCATTATTGAGATCATCTACAGGGCTCAATTTAGCTTTCCTTTTCCTATTTATCCCCTTTCTATATAATAATTCAGATATCGTGAGATGCGGTCGGGTGTGATGTAGGTTTCAGAAAATGTTTTTCTGAAACCTACATCACACCCGACCGCATCTCACGATATCTGGATTACTATCGATTAACCGTCACTAATCTCTACACATTTCTATATAATCCTGAAAGGATAATCTGGCCGAACCATTACCAACACATTGTTCCCCTTTGTCGGTTTTTTCACTTCAAAGAACAAAGCCTTACACAAAATTGTCTTTTATATACCGACTTCCTTCCCCACCCCTTCAAAACCAAACATATATAAACATAAAACAGCAAAATCTCACTGGTACTCTCAACACGACACGCAAGGATGGCACAATTACACAGAATACAAACACTTTGAGCCCTGAAGATGATCTCAATAAAGATCGAAACGTTGGCACAATAAAGAAAATGTTTTTCTGAAACCTACATCACACCCGACCGCATCTCACGATATCTGAATAACTATCGATTAACGGTCACTACTTCTACACAAAGATCGAAACGTTGGCACGATAAACAAAATGTTTTTCTAAAACCTACGTCACACCAGACATCATCTCACGATCACAAATAATCTATATGTAATATTGGCAATAAATATTTGTTGTATCATAGGTGGTTTTCAGTTTTGTAAATAATTAGGGTGAAATTTCAGTAAACAAACTGTTACGAAGTGATGTGGTGGATCTCAATTAGTTTCTCAATCAAGGTAATTTACCTAATGTAGCAGTGAATGTTTATTTACTATGGAAGGATGGCCTATTTGAACCTACATGAACAACAAAAAATGAATATGGAATGAAAAATAGCCTCGACCAAAATATGATACAATCCTTTGGTACACTATTGAGCGTAACAAGGTAAAAGGAAATGATTACCACGTACGCAAAGTAAGAACCAAGAGAACTGAGTGGCATGTTTTTAAATTTTTTAAACCTTTGTTCAAGGATGTATGGAAGGACTTTTCTTCAGCTTCCCAAATCGACAAAGAGCAAGGAACGTCAGACGCCTGTTATAATCAGAGTCCCGAAGTCCCTGGACAAGATGAGAGCAATACGGCTTAATATTGTAACGCAAGAATACACCTCTAATTGTATTTTTTGAAAAACCTAAAACCCATCCAAAATTTCGGAGAGAGGAATTCGAATTTTCGTGAACATACAGTAAAATAATCAGCTCCTCGTCGAAATTACCGGCTGCCTGTTTCTTGGTGATGGAACAGCAACTGATATTTATTCCAGGAATTAAGATTTGCTCTCATAATGTGAGTTTGGCAAACAATGAAAAGATGTAAACAAAAAAGGTATTTAATTTTTACTTTAGAGAAGGAACAAATTATTGCAATTAACAACGAAACAAACGAAAACGTTTTTCAAACTTTTTGCCATAACTTTGTCATTTTTTGAGCAATTTAAACCCCATTGTATTCAGCACAAAAAAATCCTTAAAAAATTATGTGTCAGGATGTATAGGGTACTTGAAATTTTGAAGTAGAACTGGGCCTGAGGTACCCTATACAATTTTTTTCCATCATTGAAACTAGACTAAAAAACATTAAACATGTATTTTTACTTTTTTGATTTCCGTAAGCATATTTTTGAAAATTGTAAAATAAGATTGAATCTTGCCAACATACGACAACGCTATGGTGAACGGTCAGATTATTTCATGGATTATGCCATGATTCGAAACTGAACCGCTAGGGTGGCAAATGTACCTAATCTCTAGGCCACCGCGGTCCCCTCAAACTTTCGTTCATATTTGGTCTTTTTTTTAAATTAATCTTTTTTTATTTGTTTGTCACGAGGCGCTAGGGGTCGCCTACAGACACGTTTAGGTGGGACAAATGCCCCTTCCATCACAGAAGGTAGGTCAATCAAATTTCTGGCTAATATGCTCTCGGCTCCTGATCTCTGCAGCGAACTGATCCTAGCTTCTCTAACTGGTTAAACCGAAAGTGCTTTTTATCTCCACCGATTAAGCTCCTCCGTTCGCTCAATTATCAATGATTAATTATTAATTATTAATTATTAATTGCCACAAGAAAGTTTGAGGCCTATTTACTTTTAGTTTGTATAAATTTTACCCTTGAGTTAATAAATTTATTTTTGGTCAAGAAGGTTTTGTTTTACTTTTGCTTTTCATTTTACTTTTCTTTATTTTAATTCCCCCACGCTTTCATCACAGCGCACTCTCCTGATTTCGCTGTACGTGGGCATGGAAACTGCGAGCCATTTCCCGGACTTAAGGGAAGTTTAGGTAAACGAAGTCCGTCGCAGGATGGAACAAAGCTGACATGTTAAAGGCTTCCAGTTTTATTTTATCTTTCAAGGTATGTAATTCATATAAATTATATACATTAAATACGTACAACCTTTTCCTGATAAACATTCACATGTATGTTTTATAAAGTTACAGTTTTATTAACTACAAATTTTGGTAATACCCTGCAAAAGATGCAGAAAAACAGACTCTTTTGAGATGAAGATTTAACAAAAATGTATAGTTTCTAAGAAACTGACAAACACACCGGCAGAGAATATAAAAATTTGATTTCAAATTCACTTCTGAGGGAATAACATTCAACGATATTATCATAAGCTGCACATATATTAATAATTTTTTAAAAATCATTAAATACTTTAAGAGTTTTACTTAATAAGAAGTCGTTCCATTCATAAAATTATTATTGTGCTAACGTCACCACTGTATTTAAAATAATTTCCTTCGAAATAACACGAGCAAAATTTAAATTTGTAATATCGCATCATATAGTATACAATTGATCTCAAGATTTAGTATTTTATGAATTTAAAAAAATAATTGTTGAAAAAAAAAACAGATGATGAAATAGGTGTATAATTTTTCATTATTGTTTTAACACGTTTGAAGTTTCGCTGGGTTTTTTATAAATATATTAATTATCTAAATTACTGGTGATTTGATGATATGTTTTTTTATTGTTTTTCTTTCCTTCTATGTGCCGGTAATTACGTAAGGGAGAATCGTTGATATAAAACGAAGACTTTTCAATGGACCTTACAGAAACGCCATCGTCAATATGGGTGAGGTAGTCCTTCCAAAGACGAACTGCACTGCTCCTGAGAATTGAATATCAACCTGTAGAGCCGCTATCACATCGAACATTCCCTTCGCTGTAAAAAGCTGCTTCTGCATCATCTACCGCAATGCTGACTTTACTGCCATGTGCTGAGGACAGATACCACCATAGCGCACAATGTTACCATCTTCATTTCCAATCGACGTTTTACAGCTTTCATCGTTCCCGGCTGTAACTGCACTAACTCTCAAGCAATCCGAGTCATAATAATCATATGAACCCATTCCATCTTTCTGTAGTAATGTCCAACCGATGACAGCATGCTTTTACGTTATCTACTATATTACTCCACGCAAGTAAAAACAGCTTCGTGTCAGTTGATATGACAGTGGCCGGGCGGATATTATATGAAAACAACGGATTTGACCTACAGCGATATCAGCGTGGAGAATAGGCAAGTTTCGACACATCTTACAATTTGGTGAAACGGAGTAGTGTTTTACTGTTCGAACTACGCCATGTCAATGTAACAGAGCGCCAAACAACGTTATCGTGGCTTACTTCTATGTAAATTTTACGTCCATATCAATAAAATCTTACAAAATAGTGGGCTGACAAATTTCCAACTGCATCTTCGATATTAACGTCAAACCACAGGTTTCTAGTAGTACGATCTTCTAACATGTATCCCGTTGTGATTCTCCAACATCACAATAATTACGGCTAATGTAAACTTACTAAATCTATTTTTCAACATGGTCTCAGATTAAAAACATCAAACATTTGCAATATGTAATCATGTGTCATTTAATGAATAAATAAATACTGTATCGTAGTAGTTTAATTTCAAATGATAAGGCTCAAAATTAATAAGTTATAAAATTTTATATTAGGTGTGAGTAACGCGGTTGCCATACAGATGATACTACTTTTTTTCATTTATCATAGTTTATGTCGATCGAGCTACCACACAAAAATAATATTGGCTTATAAACTTATAACTTGGTCTTTTACACGTAACATGACTATAAGTTTGACAACAGGTCAGGCACTACATAAACAAACAGCATAGAAGCAGGGTAGCCAATTTGTGAACAGAAAAATAACGAACATTTCGTTGAACAAATCACAGTTAACGTGTTGAATAGAAAGGTGACATATGACGCTAAATGTTGCGCACTGAACGAATGTTTAAAGTTATTTGTGATTGTTTTGATATGTCTTTATAATGTTCAAAACAGACGGATTTATAATTGAGATACACCAAGCGAAGTGAAATTTCCGCGTGATCCGCTGATATTTGTTTCTAAGTATCCGAGTTGGAATTCACCTGTTGGAAATAAAAGAGCGGAGAGGCTGGCCAACAAAGCAGCAAATAGCAATTTCTAGAAGGCAAAGTAAGTTATTACAAGCTATAACGAAAGAGGAAACTATGAAAAAATCGGTTTTGTACCAACTTGGATTTCCTCAAGGGTCGCATTTGGGGCCTTTTCTATTTAAAATATATATATATATGGTAATAAAATTAAACACACACATTAATAAATGATGTTCAACTAATAATAATATTTTCATTTCTGAGAATTGCTCAGGTATGACCTTTTATCAAATAAAATATTCAAACTTAACTCACTCCTAATTAGACCTGAAACTGTTACCAAACTTTCACACGCACATTAGTAAAACTACTGCCAAAAGAAAGAAAACTTTAGGATTTATTACACGCCATGATAAACATTTCCGTGATACACTTAAAATTTTATACCAAGGAAAATGATGGGAAAAATATAAAATCACTTTTGAAATTGATTTTTTATAGCAATAGGTTTTATAGCAAACACCAACTCTAAACATATATCATTTACTAATTTCGCTCCATACTCATAGTAAACTAAACTACCATGGTGTAATGTTTATTTATTTATAAAATATGACATGATTGTGTATTGGTCAGTAGGTTTGTGGTGTGTTGGCGACGAGTTTAGAGATTTGTTTGTGGTGTTAATAACGAAAGATATTTTAAGGTCCTTTGATTATCCTGTCGCATAACAGTCTTGGCGATCTCGGTGCCCAAAGTGAAATGAAATTGATTTTTTTATAAAAATAGATTATATAATAAAAACATCTCTAAAAGTACTATATAACTTATTGATTTTCAGCCTTTTTTATTTTATATTAAACTTATACAATATTTGTATAAAACAAACTTGTACAATATTTATTTATTGATAAAATGCCACGTGGTTGAATATATCAAATGATTGATATTATTTGAGACAATGTTGAAAAGTAAATTCACTATACAATTTCCACTGACTATAATTACTGTGACCTTAGGGACTTTTCATATGGTACCTGCTGAGAGCATTAAACCTATTCCGGCGACGTACAACACCAGGTTCGCTACTGAAGCAGAATTTCCATTTAAGGGTAACATAATAACAAACACTATTTCATGTGGCTCGATAATAATGTCCGAAACATTTGTACTTTCGGCAGCGCACTGTTTTATAAGATTTGATAGTTCTGGACGTAAAAAGTACATAGATCTGTCAGATGCGTTCATGTTGTTTGGTTCTTTGTTGCAAGGAGAGGGCTTAATGCGAAGAATAGAACACTACTCCGTTTCACCAAACTATCAAATGTCTCAAACCAGCCCCGTTCTCCACGCCGACATCGCTGTAGCCTATTTAAATGAGCCGTTGAAGTTTTCATATAAAATCCAGCCGGCCACTGTCGTATCAACTGATCCGATGGTTTTTTTACAAGCGTGGAATAATATAGTAGATAACGAAAAAGCATGTTATGTCATGGGTTGGGCGTTAATGAAGGAAAATGGAATGGGTTCCTATGATTTTTATGACTCGGATTTCTTGAGAGTGAGTGCAGTTTCAGCCTTGACCGATGAAAAATGTAAAAATTCGATTGGAAATGAAGAGGATAACATTGTGCGCTATGGTGGTGTCTGTGCTAAGCACATGGTATTAAATGAGGACGTTATGGCAGGTGACGCAGGAGCAGCATTGTACTGCGAAGGGAATGTTTTCGGTGTGTTATCGGCTCTAAAGGCTCATAAAGAGTACACAAGAATAGCGCACTTCTTTCTTTTGAAGGACTATCTCAGCCATATTGAAGATGAAGTTTCTGAGGGATCCATTAAAAAAGGCCATTTTTTTATATCAACGATTCTCCCTTACGTAATTACTAACACACTCATAAGCAAATAAAAATAATGCTTGATTTATTATTTCAATATTTTATACTAAGTATAGATTTATTAGCACGCTAGAACCGAGTAGACCGTTTGCCGCAAGTCAATGTAAAATTCCTTATATAAAATTTAAAAACAACAACCAAAAATTAAAAAAAAAATCAAGACCTGTTGATGTAAAAAAAACTATAAAAATACTATACATGCTATTAAGAAACGAGATTTTACGAATTTATAAAATAAAAAACAAACAAAATAGGTATATAAAAAAACTTATATATCTCTTCCTTCTATGCAAGAAACCCAATTTTAAATGTTCAAATGTTGTGGGTACTGACCAAGTGCCTGTCTGTTCCTTTGTCGCGTTCAGTAGCCGAACTCCGGTCAACGTTCGTCCCCTAGATACAAAGGCGAAATTCCGCTAGCGCAACGCGTTCAGGAAGAAAAGAAGATTTTTAGATGCATAACGAACATTGTAGACTTCCAGCCTCTCTCCATCGAACTCAATTTAAACACAGTTGCTCAAAACTTGTTTTAAGTAACCGCCGAATTTACAATGGCGTGGTAATTTCTTTGAGTAATGACTAGAATTGATAACGGATTCAAATCTTTGTATAAGAATAAGCGGTCCGATGAACTTGGTTTATGTAAAGAAGTTTCTCTGTGGGTTAGCTTAGGTCTTTGTATTATTATAATGGACCATTTTGGCAAACTGTCAACATCGTCCTGCGTTAAGAAAAAATTACATTTAAACTCGATCGCTAATTTGTTCTATTGAGCTACCCGAAACAATTGCTTTTGAATAATCTAATGCAGAAATTTTTGACAGACGAGAGTCTGAAACGCCAAGTACATTAAGTATAAATAAAAATGAAGGTTCAAAGTAAAAACGAATTCACTATTTTTTGTGGTCCGCCTGACCAATTCATATCATTCGATTATTTAAGGTTTTAAGTTGTGATAAAAAAGTCATTTATCTCAACTTAAAACCTTAAATAATTGAATGATATTAATTGGTCAAGCGGACCACGAAAAATAGTGAATTTAATGAATTAAAATGAAGTATACTACACTAAAGCTCTCCGTGGCTATTTCACTTGTCGCCGAGAATCAAATAGATTACACGATATTTGAAAAATCGTAAAAAGGAGGAAAAATTCAAAAAGGTGTGGTTGAGATGGGAAGTTAGTGTCCGAGGGAATCGAAGTCACGATAGTGGTAGATTAGCGGCGAATGTCGTGGATTCGAATCCCGCTCGTGACACTGACTTTTTTTATCTCAACGTAAAACCTTAAATAATTGAATGATAAAAACGAATATTATATTTCCTGACGTCTCAAGATACAGCTTGTTGTTGAGGTTGAGTCTGGTAGACCGAGCACTTTTTTCATGAAATATGGTTAAATTGTTTTATTTTCTCATACGTCGAAATCCCCATACTTGGGAGATTTGTTGGAAAGAATTGATCGGCAGACGGCATTAAAAAAGACAATTTAGCTGGGCAATGAATGAAATTATTTCCAACAATATTCGTCCAGGCTCGGTGGAGGCAAATTTTCGGTAAACGCTTGTAAATTTAGATCTTGAGAGAAGGAAAGTTAGTCGTTAAAAGAACTCCTAAATATTTATACTGGTTATTCTCTACGCATCGAAATACCAATGTTCGGAAGCAGATACTCCCGCTCTTCGAAAAACCATGACCTTTGATTTCGTTAGATTTATATATATATATATATTATGCAGGGTGGGCGACCAAGACCCGAGGGGTTAAATGCCTGGGTAGAGTCGTACCCCATCCCTAAAAGGTCCGGGACTTGGTCGGCTCACGTGTCCTGCATAAACCTCTTGGACTTGTTCACAAACGCCAAGCTTTTGGACCATTTTATCTCGGGGAGTGATTTGGTGATGTCCTCTCCTTCAAAGATTTCAAATCTAGACCTAGCATATCTATCACATTCTGCGAGGTAGTGCTTTGCCGTTTCTTCTTTTATTTTGCAGAAGCGGCAAAAGGGGGGTAGAATACCCATTACGAAGAGGAGTCTTCTCAGTGGGCAGTGGCCCGTCAGAATACCTATCAGCCTCCTAATTCCCTTCCTTGAAATAGAGAATAGCCATTTCGATTCAGCTGGTTTGATCGCCTTAACAAACTCTTTCGATTGCCTGTGTCCGGGGGATAAATTCCACTCCCTAAGGAATTGTTTCATGCCCCAGTTATTGATACTCTCTTTCGTTGTGCTCATAGAGTGAGGTAATACTGGTGTGGCTCAACAAACGCAGTATTAGAACCTTCTTTGGCTAGGCCATCAGCCTTTTCATTGCCATGGTGTCCTTTATGTGCTGGCATCCAAATAAGGGTGGTAAACCTTGTTCTCAAACCTGAAAGAGATCCTATTGATAAGATGTTAGATTTAGTGCTGGACTCCATTGTTTGCCCTATTACTCTGAGGAGAGCGGCTTTCCTGACACATAAAATAACAAGGTCGTCCGCGTACATTCGAAATTTTGTTACCACGCCGCCGATATGTATACAAACACGAGAACTGATGGGATGTCATCCAAAACCAATGCAAACCAAATCGGGCTGAGTCTCTGGTTTAGTCTATTACCAGTATTTACAAAATCAGAATTAGCCGTAGAACTATAATTACATATACTTTTCAGGGTATTTAAAAATTTCGTAGATAAACCTACGAAGCTTTGGTATGAGTACTCTTCTGTCAATATTATCAAATGCAGGTTAAATATTGTCGTGAAAACACCTCGATGAAAGCCGGCTTGTGACACACAGCAAATTATTAGCTGTTACAAAAACCTCCACTCGTTTTAATAAAATTGCTGAAAATGTTGCGACAACAAAAGAGATATCACTATAGTTTGTGACTAGGTTTGAATAACAGTTTTGAAAAAGCGGGAAAATTAAGGATTTTCCCAACTGTTTGATAGAACATCAACTGCTTTTAGATAAAGTTAAAGAGGTCAAATACACGATCGAGCAAGCTTTTGGGTGCGTTTGTTATTTGTAGGTGTTGTGTTCCGCTCTACCGGATGAATCATTGTACCGAGCCGAGTCGCAGTATGTTTCTAGTGTGTGTCTTATGACTTCTGTGGGCGCTCGGCATCGGCCTAAAGCCAATAAAGTCTAAGTTGTTTTTTTTTGTCAATTTATATCCACGTCTACCTTAGTCAGTCCGTACGAGACATTACAGTAGATTTGTTCAAAACAGTCTTTAACTCGTTGAAAGCAAAAGGACAACCCAGAAAACAGTTATCAATGAATGGCTCCACGAACTATATTTCTAAAAGCTTGATGTTTGTCAGAGATTTTTCGGTTTATGTTGGTAAAGTTATGGGGTCTCTGGTGTAAAGCTCGACTTCTAAGAGGACGAAGACGGTTTTTTAATTTAAAAAGTACAAAACAACCAGATGATTGTACATGTGTATAAGTTTTCATTGTTATTTGGACGAGTTCACTGCGTTTTTAGAAATAGAAAAATTAGCTAAATTGTTTGTGATTCCATCATATATATATTTTTATTATGTTTTTATTTCCTTATATGTGCCGCTAATTATATAAGGCAGAATCGTTGATATAAAAAGAAGACTTTTCAATGGATCTTACGGAAACGCCATAGTCAACATGGGTGAGGTATTCCTTCCAAAGACGAACTGCACTGCTTTTGAGGATTGAATATCGATAACATATCGAGCATTCCCTTCGCTGTAAAAATGCTTCTGCATCCATCTACCGTAATGCGGACATTACTGCCATGTGCTGAGGACAGACACCATCATAGCGCACAATGTTACTGTCCTCATCCAGCATCATCAATGTACGGTTTTCATCGCTCCAGACTATAACTGCACTCACTCTCACGTAATCCGAGAAATAATAATCACAGGAAACTATTCCATCATTCTGTAGTAATGTCCAACCCTACTCCCTCATCCCACTTTCTGGTCAGTTGATACGACAGTGGCCGGCTGGATATTATATGAATACTGTAATGGTTCTTTTAAATAGGCTACAGCGATATCAGCGTGGAGAATAGGCCTGGTTCGACACATTTTATAATTAGGTGAAAAGGAGTAGTGTTCGAACAGAGCGCCAAACAACGTTATCGTGGCTTACTTCTATGTAAATTTTACGTCCATATCAATAAAATCTTACAAAACAGTGGGCTGACAAATTTCCAACTGCATCTTCGATATTAACGTCAAACCACAGGTTCTAGTAGTACTTTCTTCTAACAAGTAACCAATAAATGGAGATTCTCCTTCAGTAGTAAGCCTAGTGTTGTATGTTACCAAAATAGGTTTAATCGTCTTAGCTGATTTCGTACTAACATTCTCCAACTTCATAGTCATTACGGCAAATGGAAACTTACTAAATGTACTTTTCAACAAGTCTCAGATTAAAAACATCAAACATTTGCAATATTTAATCATGTGTCATTTTATGAGTAAATAAATATTGTACCGTAGCGGTTTAATTTAAAATGATAAGGCTCAAAATTAATAAGTTATAATTAATTATGTTATAGAATTTTATGTTTTGAGTAACGCGGCTGCCATGCAGATGATAGTACCCTTTTTCATTTATCATGGTTTATGTCGATCGAGGTACCACACAACAATAATATTGGATTATAAACATGGTCTTTTACAGACTAAGAGCGTGTAAGGCTAACATGATTTTCTTTAAGTTTATTGTTGTACTAACATGACTATAAGATTGACAACAGGTCAGGCACTACTAAAAATAGCGTACATTTCCTTGAACAAATCACAGTTAACATGTTGTACAGAAAGGTGACATATGACGCTGAATGTTGCGCACTGAACGAATGTTTAAAGTTATTTGTGATTGTTTTGATATGTCTTTATAATGCTCAAAACAGACGGATTTACAATTAAGATACATCAAAAGAAGTGAAATTTCCGCGTGATCCGCTGATATTTCTTCATTAGTATCCGAGTTGGAATTCACCTCGTCAAATTTATCGGGCGAAAATTCCGCTAGATTTGTCCCTTGCCTA